AAATTTCCCTGACGGCTGTTATGATAATTTCCCTAAAAGCCACGAGTGCTTTGATAGGCTCCTTCTCTATTTTGAGAGTAGCGCTCTCCCCCATTTGGGTTCGAGCTGGGTCTGTAAGATCTGTTACCACCTCCAATTGCTTGATTACTCCCCGAAGGTCGATCTTTTCTAGATTCTGTTTGGTAGTCGCTCAAGCATTCAGCGGCTCCCATGGCCGTGCTTAAATCAGTAATCTTCTGTCTTTGAAGTTTCGTGCGTGTCCACGGTTTCAACCCTTCCATAAAGGTGAAGAGCTTGTCCTTTTCTGACATATCTCGAATATTCAGCATATGCCCTGAAAAGGATTTCACATACTCCCTGATAGAGCTCGTGTGTTTCAGGTCTCGAAGAGCCCGTCGAGCCTGATACTCGACATTTTCCGGGAAAAACTGCGATCTGATCGCTTCCTTTAGGAGATCCCAAGAATCAATTCGAATCCTGTGGGCCTGAATGTCCGCATATTTGGTTCGCCACCATAATTTTGCATCTCCACCCAAATACATGGTGGCTGTGGTTACCTTTCTAGCTTCATCTTCGATCGAAGCTGCTAGAAAGTACTGTTCCGTATCAAACAAGAAGTTTTCGACTTCTTTTGCATCACGTGCCCCTCCATAGGTACACGGTTCAGGAATTCTGAGTCTAGGAGCATACTCGTGTGCGGGAGCTTGCCCATTGCCCACCGCACGTTGGAGTACTCGCAATTGAGCTCTCAACGCTTCCATTTCATCCTGCAGATCAGGAATGATTGCAGCAGCTTCCGTCATTGCTGCGCAAGCTCTTTGGCTTTCATCCAATTGGATGTGTAATCCACGAATCTCAGATTCGGCCATCTCGACTTTTTCCTCGAGACCTTCCACAGCATAGCACAACCTAGTAGTTGTCTCATCAAGCGCATCCACGCGCTGTTTCGTAGTACCCTTCTTTTGAGGCTTTACCACTTCAGTGGTGTGTGATATAATTGGATCCATAGTTTTCTTATCGAGGGTCTTGAGCTGCAGCTCTGATACCAACTTTCACGAGGTGCCTTTCTTCTTGGCACAGAAAGGGACACCGTGCGGCAGTAGTCTGCTCCGCTAGACTACCTTCCACCTTTTCTCGGTCGCGTCGAGACGAAAGAAAATTTGATTGCAATTTTGTAGAAAGCTTACAATTGAGAATTTGAATACATTGAAAGTAAATTGAACATTGATTGTTGAAAACTGAACATTACAATTGATGAAAGCAGAAAATTACAAATGCTGGTGCAGGGGGCGGACACCAGTGAGCTTGAAAGATTTTTGAATGACTAATACCCCCTATAATAGCATTCTGAACAAAAACCCAAGTGACGGGAGTAGACGTTTAAAAGACGAGGAATCATACTAATCTTTTACCAATATCAGAGCTATTTTACAATTAAAATAACTATTACAATGAAACGAAAATTACAACTCAAACTAGAAGTAATATTTACAATGTGCGGCCGAAGTTGGGCAAACTGCGGCTACGATAGTGTCAAGGGGCTAAGTAAAGCTGCGGTCCTTGACACCAAGTCTCAAATTACTGTAGGTTAGTGGGGCATCATCAGATATATCTACTAGATTTTCCATAAAGAAAGGAGCTATGATGAGCTGATTGACAGGAATACACGATTCACTCTAAACGAATTGATGATGTTTCAAGTTAAATGGAGGAGGACTCTTTGTTGATGAAAAACGAATCTAGGCCAATCCAGGGCATTGTATTCAGTATCCTCAATGGCTAGATTTCCACCTCCTCTCCTTGGGTAATCGTAGATGTACCCCTTCCAGAGGTGCCATTGAGAGTGATAGTGAGGAAGTAAACTTTTCCTTCCACTTCCACAGAATAAAGCGGCCAACTTTTGGCTCTGCCTCGTCAAAGGAAAAAAGGTCAGCTCATCCTTCCTGTAGTGAGCAGGTTGATTTCTTGGGAAGCAATGAGGATGAGCTCTCCAAAATGATCCTAGGGATGCTCCCACTGAGACTGCTTCAGTTGCAAGGGTCTATAGTAAATTATGGACTGATGAATGCTAGGATCATTTTACCTCCTATAGGGCTAAAGATTTGATTAGTGCTAACAATGCATGCGCAGCATACATTCTAAGTATAGGCGTGTTAGTGGAAGACTTCGACTTAAACCTTCGTCAAAAGATTGATGACGTGAGCCTTGGGCTAGAGGCTTTGGGAGACTAGAAGAGGAGGTAAAATGAGGGTCGAGGCAGAAGAAGCCCAGATGAAGAGGACTGGGGTGGAAGTGAAGTTAGACGCTGCTAAGATGCAAGTAAATCAGTTGAAAAATAAGCTTCATCAATCTATTTCTCAAGTAGCAGCTTTGACGAAGCGGATTGACTTGTCCAATGAACATCAGTGGATCGCCTCTGAGGAGTTGGTGGAGGCGAATAAAGTAGAAGTCGAGCTGAGGATACTGCTGCCTGAAGCTCAAAAGAAAAGGTAGAATCTCTTAAGGCTGAGTAAAGACAATATGAGCGGGTCAGTGAAGAACTAAATCGACAACTTCAAACAAACAAAGGAGTATGGTGACTCAAAAAATACTAGGCTTCATAGAGTGCCTAATAGATGCTAGCTCATTTCAAGGAGGTCCATTTAGAGTTGGACATTGGCTTTTCTAAAGAAGAATTTGGCGGACGAGTGGGTCAGTAAAGAACTACATTGAAACTAAAGAAAATGTGCCAGAAATGCGCAATTGAATCTACAAGAATGGTGAAATATCATCAGCAAAACTCTGAGTACCATTTTGATGATATGAAAAATGGGATGATTTCTTCAAAGGATCATTAATTGAAAAAGAACTGGGGACTGTCATTGTGTTTTAGAGAAAATAAACAATAAAATAAATAACATAATATGTAGGTTTAAGAAATACATCTTGGCTACTGAATCCCAACAGACTCTGTCTCAACGATCAAGAAATAGAATGATCACTGCCTTTGAATATGAAAAGGCACATTCAAACTACGATCAAAGTATGCATAAGCATCACACGAATTGAAGAATGTGCATGTTAAAAATACACTGGGGGGAGGTTTAATTATGAATGAGTTGTTTCATCCAATCATGCATTAATATTCATTAATAAAACTTATAAAATTACAATACATATCCTTCATCTAAAGTCCATAAGTTCTCCACTTAACATAAATATTTAAGCTCGATTTTCAGGAACTATAATGGATTGAGTATCCGACCTCGCCCATCTACCAAAATAATGACACACAAAAATAGATAGAATAAAATTGTAAAAGCTCATAAGACCTAGTTACAACACCAAAAGACTTAAAATAATTAAGGAATAATCAAAACATTCCTAAGATCGTATGACTCAGAAAAGTCCTAGATCTAAACATAAATGATCACACTCAAACTTAAGGGACTACTTATTGAATACCAAAAAACTAACAAGGAAATATTGGCGAACTCAATCTCTATTATACAAACCTTAGGAAGCAAATAGACAGCATTCATAAGTGCAAGAACTCGAAAATGATGAACTAATTTCATTAAATCATTTCATATCGACAAAAATCATTCTTAAAGCACACTTGAATAGAGTATGACATTTGACTACATAACTAATGAATGAATGACACATAAGCTAGTAAATAAGTATGATCTAATAACAGAATTAATTAAAAATCAATAAATCAATAACTATCACATGTCAATTACTAAAAAGACCCACTTACCCCCTAAAAGCCCAAATATAAATTTATGTATAGGCATGCTTGGGATGAAAAATGTCATTTGAATTGAGAAATAACTTCCAAGTAGTTATTTCGCATCCTACTCCCTGTTGAATAGCAGAATAGCAAGTTTAGAAGGAAAAATTGTGACTAGGTAATGGGAATTTGTTGATCATCATTTGGAGGTCAACAAGGGATATATATGCCCCCGTTTGGCCTCCATTACATTAAATTCTATTACATTCTACTTTTCTCTCTCCTATTTTCAATCACACAATCTTTCATAAAATAATATTATACGTAAATCGAAAACTTTTCATTCTTTTTCAACCACTCATTTTTAAAAAAAACACAATTCCACACATTTTCACTTCTAGAAAATGGAGGCCAAACGAGGACATAAGAATCATAGGCAAAAATTGAAGTTCCTTCAATTAAATGTCGAGCCTCATATATAACTTTTTATATACTAGATTAATACCCTCCATTCATGTAATTTCTAATTTTTCAATTTTATAAGTTCTCAAAGAGTCAATACAAAAAAAATTGGTTCCAGCGGCCAAATAAACTGGTCTCTAAAGGGTGGTTTTTAGTAGGTAAAAACCTTTAGCGACCACACCACAGAACTGTGGTCGCTGGCTTGTCACTAATAGACCGTTGATGAAGGGTTCCAACGACCAAATACGTGTGGTCGCTAAACATATAACTAACAACGACCAACTTTTGGTCGCCAAAAGGTTCACTTCTATCGCTAGTACAAGTGGAAAATTGTTTAATTAATGTCTTTTTGCAACCAAAGAGTGGTTGGTAATGCCTTTAGCGACCAAATAAGCGTGGTCGCTGGCTGGTCAATAATAGATCGTCAGTGAAGGTTTTCAGCGACCAAAGACGTGTGGTCGCTGGTCGTTAACATCCAACGACCAAACTATGGTCAATGAAAGTTAATGCCTTGAGTGATCAATTATGTGGTTGCCGGTAGTTGACATCCAACGACCAAATTCTGGTCGGTGAAAGTTAAGGTCAATAACGACCAATGTTGTGGTAGCTGATAGTTAACATGCAATGACAAAATTGTGGTCGCTGGTAGATTTTACACGCTTTTGCAACCAATGTTTGATTGGTGAATGTTGATATCAATCTTTTAATAGCCAATACTTTTTATTCCTACTAATATTTTATCCAATATCTTAACTTTCAAACACCACAAAGATAGTTGAAAATAACAATTTCGATAATCGGAAAAAAGTTAAAAAGAAAAATATTGCCGCAAAAGTAAAACTATATTGCTCATATTTCAGGTATTAATAGTCGGTACATAAACAGGAGTGCCATTTACAAGATTAATTTTACTTGTAACAACAAAGACATGAGAAGTTTATCAAGAGTACAGATAGTATGATTCATATTCCACATCAAGCAAGAGCCCTCTTGTTATTGCACAATGACACTTGTATTGCTTGATATGCTCGGCTCTAGCTGGTGCAATCTTCAATCACTTGCCATGGAACCACTTCTCCACAAGCACCACAAAGAGTCTCACCATGTTCCTCGTCTTCTTCCTTGCCCAAGGCCTCACTTCATCTTTAGGCTCTGACTTTGAAAATTTTCCTTGAGATTCAGATGCTTGTTGTTTCCACCAAAAAGTGCACAAGTAACGATATCACCAAGAAAGGAAAAAAAAACTAATGACAGAGAGATAATTAAACAAGCAGGACTAGATGACATTAGAAGTGTCATTTTCAGCTTACTCTGAATTGCAAATGTTTTAAGCCGACTTTCATCAAATTGTTGTCCAGGAAATGAAATAAAATAATGAGTACAATGAAAAAGCAGAGTACACAAATGAATTTCAGTAACATTCTTTCATTTCAAATCACAACCTTAAGACATAACATAGATTAAATAATAATTAATCGAACCAGAACTTTGATTTGTCACTGCTGTGATTATGCTGCCATTCACTCTAATTATTCAATTAAAACCAACCAAATAACTTCACTGTGTTAAAAAATAAAAATCCTAACAAACAAGAGTGCCATTCAAGGCATCATAACAAACTGCTAGAGCAATTTTTCAGATTTCAACCAGTAAAATTGAAGTCCATGACGCAGAGAAATATCATCCAGCACATACCTTGAGCCTTTCATGAGCCTCTTTCACTGCCTTTCCATCTTTCTTCTTTCTCTAATTATGGCCATCTTTCCAAAAATAGCTCAACACCTTCCAGTCAAAAAGAAAAAGGAAACTCACCCAAAATAATATACTTCCTCCAAAATAATACTCCATGAAATAAAGTTACATGTGCAAAACATATATATTATCATATGACCAAGTTGGTAGCTCAATATTCACCAAGGGATCATCATCCAAATATTAATTTCCATTTCTATGACACAACTTAGTATGACAAACCAACTTAAGCAACCAAAAAATGAGTACTGATCTTAGATAACAGTAGTATTGCACATAAATAGGTGCATTTGTAAAAGAATACCTGTGACGATGTCAAACCACCAGAGTCCAAATTTGTGAACTTATCATATTTCCCTTATAACGTCAACAATATAATCACAATACTACGGTTGATGTGGATAATTTTACATCCTTAAAACAAGAGGGAGAGAACCACATTTCCTGCTTGCTTAGCTGTGCAGAATATAAACATCTGTTGAGCCAAAAGTCCAGTTCTTTCCAATGCACAAATGTACAAAATGGTTAAAATTCTTCAATATATACACAACACATTCAGGTGGATTCTTAGCAACTACCCTGGTCATATTTTATAAGCACAGAGAAGCAAGTGAAATAATATAACGTGAAGCACATAGTAACAACTAGCCACTGTGCAATGTGACGCAATTCAAGAACTTATGCATAGTTTTCACCTGCAAATATGAATGATCGGCATGGCAGGAAACAGAACTGTGGATCAATACAATAACAGCAGACATTATCAAAGATACAGCATCAAAACATGTTGAAGCACAACAACAAAGTTCTAATGGGCACATACTCAACCGATTTGATATAAATAACATGGTTGGTAGTATGAATACGAAAGTTCAAAACCATTTAACAGAATATGGTGAAAAGGGAAACTGGCGTTATTTAAAAACAGGAAAGAAAAATTCACTAAGAACAGCAATCCTAAAACTAAGGTACTGAAATGTAATCTTCGCATCATAAATAAATGTCTTCTCATCTTTAAATCGAAGAAATAACAACACATAAATAGCCTTCTCTTTCTGGAAGGCAATGTTTATCTTCTGAACTTCACACAGCAAATCACTTGGCATTAAAAATTTAATCTAAATTTTCACAAAAACGCAACAAATCTCACCATAATGACTTCTCAAAATTCACTGCTAAGCCATGCCTTGACTGGACTGATTTTAGAATTCCAACGGCTGAAATCTTGAACGAATCGCCTGGGGCTTGGTTGAATTGAGAGTCGCAGGAGGAACAATTGGGGAATGGGGAAGGGTTTGGGCGGGTATGAGTTTAGGGTTATATGTCAATGAGTTTGTTTATTTAGCTTTTTCGGCCAACCGGGTCGGGTTTTGATTGGGATGAGTTTGTGTTGAATAAATTGTTGATTTGTTTATAAGTTTTTTTATTTGTGATCAATGAACAAATTGTGCCTTATAAAATATTTGAATTGTGACCGCAAAATAATTTGGCACATATAACTATTTTGATTTTTTACCGAAAAATAATATGATTAATTAAATTGTTAATTAGTGATCAAATTGTATAGATCTATGATCGTAATATATTTAATTAACAAAAAATATAATTAATTAATTAAATCATAAATAAATTTTAATAAATATCTGATTTTTGAAATTTGAAACATTTGTTTTTATTTTTGAATGGGTGATACTTAACATTTTAGTTGTGAATTTTTCCATTTGTTTATTGAGCTAATTAAATTTGAGTTGGATTATGGCATATATAACAAACCCTACAAAACTCGTCCCGAATTAATTTGGTACGTTATTTTACCATTTGATTTTTAAACTTCAATAACATCAAGCCATAAAATAGGAGAAATCGCAGAAGCGGTAGGGATTCATTGAAGAATACAAGGGCTTGATTTGATCTCAAAGGAAAAGACAGTGTTAACTTTCTTCGATATAACGAGAGGAGATGTAGCTTGTCAATATATATCCCATTCTTCAGGTATAGTTTTCGTTGATCACATTTTGACAAGTAATCCTTTTCTTACCCATTCGCCATAAGGTTTGGTCTAACTTTGAGAAAAAACTAATTTCGTCTTCCTCTCCCGAATATTTCCAAAATATCTTATAAGACAGGCCTAAGAGAGTAGGGTGCTTCTCGAGAAGCAATTATACGCTCGTTTCCTTGTAAAGAACTTCCTTTTAGAGACATGCTTCATCAAGCTATTAGCATTATCGATATAACTATTGTTGGTGATAATGGCATGGCGCAAGGAGGTTTAGGCATCGCTCAGAAGCAAAAACAAAAAGATAAAGCAATTGGATAGCCTCAACTGTCACATTGGTAAGATGGATTTCTTCCCCACAACTAGGATTGTGAGGCTGTACAAGTAACGACGATAGCAAATCAAGGAGTTAATAATCGAATGTGCGTACAAATGCAAAAATCAAAACTAAAATCTTCCATATTCTGAACTGTATTAAAATGGATAGCAAATGAGAAAAGGCGATTGTATTACTTCTTTTCTTTTTTATTTTAACCAAGATGGTGTATTGGTGTTCAAATTGGAATTTATCTTGGAACTGTTTAATTGTTAACTAATTTGAGCAAAAGTCCTAATTGAAACCACTGAAAGATCCAATGACAAAATATGGTCCCGATCAAACTATTTTCAAATCTTCGTGGTTCAGTTCGGATTACAATTAACCCAAATCGACTCGGTCGGTTTTGAGTGAGTATTGACCATGACTCTTAATAGCAGTTGTGTGGATCATGAAATTGATCATAAAATTCTTATGTGCCAGTCATCATACTTTGAACATGTTGTGTGGGTCATCGTACTTTGAACATGTTGATCATAAAATTCTTATGTGTGGGTCATCATAAAATTCTTTGGATGGTGGGTGTGGTACCAATTGAGAAGAGAGAATGAACGTTGAAACCTAGATAATGAGAAAGAGATGAGACATGGGAAGGGGCGACAGATGAAATAGGGTTATAGATTTGGAAATAAGGTAATAAGAAAATGAAATATTTGAGTGGATAAGAGAGAAAAATAGAGGGAAATACAAAAATTTTAGAAGGACGTGAAAATTTTATGAGGGAAATCAAAGAGCATAAATGACAAGTGTGAAAAGAAATCGATCGAATGATGAAATGAACAGTGAGAAATTCAATAATTAGTGAAACGGGAGAACATAAGAGGATCTTAAGATTAGAGAAGTAATGATGCCAAGTGTTAATTTAGATTTACACCAGTGATCAACATATGGTCATTGAAACCTAGTATTAACCAGCAACGACAAAATTTGGTCACTGAACAGTGAAAAAAAGCTAGGAAGAATTGCGCCGAGTGTTCCAGCTACCAAGTACCAAGAATACTTGGACGCTGGAACGTTCCACCAGCAACCAAACTGTGGTCACTGGAACATAGCACTAATCAACAACCACAGATTTGGTCGCGGAATAATTGAAGAAAAAGTGAAAAAAAAAAAAGCGGGGAAGATTGCGCCAAGTGTTCCAACGACCACGACAATGTTGGTCGATGGATAATGGTACTAGTGACCAAATGTTGGTCACTGGAGGCATTTACATTTGGCGACACAATCTTGGTTGGTAAAGGAGTTGCCAAAATTTGGCAGGTTTCTTCTCGCCAACCTGTATAGCGACCACAGCAATGTTGGTCGCTGGATAATGGGACTAGCGACCAATTGTTAGTCGTTAGAGGCTTTTATATTTGGTGAACATAGTCTTGGTCGATAAAGAAGTTATCAAAATTTGTCAGGGTTCTTCCTGCCAACCGGTATAGCGACCACAATATGTTGCTCACTGGATAATGGTACCAACGACCAAATGTTGGTCGCTGAATGCCTTTCCAAAATTTATTCTATTTTAACAGATCAACACTTTCACCGACCAAGCTTTAGTTGGTGATCATGACTTATACCGAGTTGAAACCTTGGTCGGTGAAGCCTATAATTTTTGTAGTGAATAATCTTAATTAGGTTGATTTGGTAATGGAAATGTAGAAATAGCACTTCAATATAGTTTACATGTAGCACATTCAATAATAATTTCACTCACTTAAGTTGGTCTTGTTTATTGAGCTTATACAATTTCAAAATGATGGAAAGTTTTTGCTTCTCTTCAAGTTATACACATGTATCACGATCACTTGGCGTGCTGTCCCAGGCACCCAAAAATAATAAAACCTACACTTCCAAAAAAATGTATGTAGTAGTGGAAGTAAGAATCGTTCCCACGAAGAGTGATTAGCCTAATTTTATGCAATGTTAACAATAACATGGGATTTTGCTTGTGATGAAATCAATTCTAACTAAAGGCAATGCAAATTAATAAATTGGATTAAATTAATAGAACGAACATTGGTCTAAGTCAACATCCACCATTGGAGATTTACAATTGATCATTGATCCATGAATAATTATTAATTCATACTTTTAGTATTCATCGTTGAAAAATAATTTCCCATTGGAAACAATTTCATATTTCTCCTTACTTTTAATTAATTAGAACCAATCAATCTAATTAATTCTCATTACCAAATACTCCTAGACGAGCGCGAGAATTTAATTTAATAATGACTTTCCGAACTAGAAAAATCAATGAACTAGATGACACAAGCCAAGCGTTTGCATTTAAACTAAATAAATATTCTTCCTAAGATTTATTATATTTCCCAAAGTAGAAAATTAATAATCCTAGTTGCTTCACAAGTTAAATTAATCAAACAATTATGGATTTGATATTTAACTTACCTATAGATTGAAACGCATGATAAACTAATGGATCCTTTTAGTAATCAAGCATAGCAATCATAAAATTAAGCATAGAAGAATATTCAATACTGAAAATTTAAATTAAACGACGAAAATTAGGTAGATCTCACAATTGAGAACGATTCCAAGGCTTCAATATTCTTCGACCAAGAGATGAAGTTTAACAATACATCAATAATTCTCAAGCAAAAAGAGAGAAAAATCCTTATGAATTTGGTATAATGAATGGTATCCTCCTTTTGGACGTCCCTAGGGTTTTAAAAGAATCCCCAAGATCTGTTTCCATAAGAATTTCAATCAGAAAAGGAAACCAGATTTTTCTCGCCGCGATTGACTTGGGCTGTCACCCAGGCAAAACTCGGGCAGTCGCCCAGGCATGGCTTTTGGCTTCGGTAATTCAATTTTAATGTTGTGCGATCGCCCGGATTTTATAGCTGGGCTATCGTCCAAGCAAAATTTCTTTCAAAAGTTGTATTTTAGTCCCGAATTCAATTTTTGATTCTTTTAAATCGTTTTTCTTGCAATTTCAACCCTTTAACTTCTAATTGTGTCCAATTGAACCCGCAACATCTTTAATCTTCATTCCATTGCTCGTCTTATCTAAGGATTATTTGCAACTTGGTCCTTGAACTTCCAATTTCCTCCATTAAAACACTTTTTTTCGCTCTTTTATTTTATTTTATGTCATGATCATCCAAATGCAACCTAAATCACAATATAAGGGTACTTAGCACATTATTTAGGTGTTAAGTAATCATAAAAGTGCCAGAATTAATGGATGTAAATCACAACATTTCATGTCGTATCAAATTTCTCAACACTTAGCTTTTGCTCGTCCTCGAGTAAAACTTAAACTCACTTTCATAAGGTTGCAATGCCACATACATAAGACAATCAAACTTTTCAAAACACATAACAATTCATGGATAAACATTCTCACACAAGGTATAAGTAATTAGCAAGCATTCTCAAATGAAGATGGATGAACCAAATGTGTAGACCCTCACGGAAGTAAGCGCTCAACTTTCATATGTTTGCAGGGTAAGTGTTTCGCTCAAATTCATTCCAATGGAAGTCTCCTACCATACGCTTGCATTTCTTCTCATTCTCCACTAGTTAGATCACATGTATTACACAAATCATAAGGACTTTTTCACAGGTTGTAACGTAGGCTAGGGTCCAGGTGTGAGATATTTGGGTAAGTAACTCAAAAGCCACAAAAACTAGTGGAGTAAAGATGAATTAACTCAGCTCAAATGTATACATAAAACATGTAAGATCAAATCTTTCCACTCATAGCTTTTTTGCATCTATTTCACACAACCCTATCATTTTCTTGTGATTCTAGGAGAAATCATGAACACAGAGTAAATATGGAACATTGAAAATCATTTTCTCCATCACTTCTTCTCTTTTTTTCATTTTTTTCATCATTTGTTTCAATTTTTATTTTATTTTTTTCTCAAAACATTGCACTAATAATGGAACTTATGACTTGAAATTGAATAATATGTTCC